CGGGAGGACCCTCTATTAAAACGGCTCTACTCTGTGAAGACATGTTGTTAACTTAAGGAGACTTGAGCCAGTGTTTATTAGTCAGTGTTTATTCAGTTCTTGGTATTTTGTTTCATCCTCTCTACTGCAGATTTCCTGTGATGGAAGCGACCTGCCTGACAATACCCTCACTGCCCTCCCATTGGCTGCCTGGCTCACTGCCCTCCCATTGGCTGCCTGGGTCCCCAATAGTACCCTATTACCCCATAAGGCTGTGGTCAAAAGTAGTGCGCTATACAGGGACTATGGTGGCATTTGGGATCAAAAACGTTATATTGTATACATCCAACAGGCTGAGTCCTCCTAACTGCCCTCCCATCCCCACTGCTAGAATCATTAACAGCAGGGCCTGTGTTGGCTCGCCTGACGACTCAAACTGAATTATCCCCCTGCTCTGTGTCCGCTACATCCTTCAGTCTGAGACTGCCGTCGTTGAAGTCGTTTGTGGTGACGTCAAAATGAGGGGTGTCGTACAAAACAAAGTCATGAGCGATTGGATCATTTCTAACCAATCAAGAGTATCAGAGCCAATGATGAATTTTCTAAACGCCGCTTTACCCCGGGTGTGTTCTGGCTCTGGCCCAACCCATCGGTTTCTGGGACCAATCAGAATGGTTAGAATGTGTTTGCGTTCTAGAAAATCGTTGGGGAGGTACTCAGGTCTAGACTCATTGCGGAGAAGAAACTAACATCTGTGGGCATGGCGTAGCGTTTGGCCGGAGCAAGGAGTCTGGGTAGCCATGTAAAGCGTTTACCTGCTGGCTCCAGAAACATCAATAGTCTACTCCTTTACACAGCTCTCAGACCTACTAGGAAATAACGTAAATTAACGACGTAAATATAACGGCTTGGGTCATAACAGCATTATCCCCTCCAATATCAAATCTATACCAAAATCCCGTACCTGCTAGACTAATGATTTTTGTTGTTGTTGTAATTTTTACCCCCCTTTTTTTTCGTGATTCCGATCTTGTGTGATCGCTGCATTTCCCCAACAGGCTCGGGGGAGGCGAATGTCGAGTCACGCGTCCTCCGAAACATGACACGCCAAACCGCGCTTCTTAACACCCGCTCGCTTAACCCGGAAGCCAGCCGCACCAATGTGTCGGAGGAAACACCGTTCAACTGACGACCGAGGTCAGCCTGCAGGCGCCCAGCCCGCCACAAGGAGTCGCTAGAGCGCGATGAGCCAAGTAAAGCGATGATCGAACCCCAGGCTGTAGTGACAACGCAACACTGTGACGCAGTGCCTTAAACCACCGCTAATTAATTATTCTAAGGAAAATACTAGCTACATCACTTTCTAAACTGTGAGATCCTTCCAAGTCTAATCTCATAAATCTTGTATGGATAATAATGTCCCGTTTATAATAAAATAATGTCCCCTTACTCAGATCAGAGCCTGGGAACCGACCGGACTTGAAAAAGACAACCGCTGCTGAAAAACAGCTTATAAAAGTGAATGCTAGATAAATCAGTTATTGCTGGAGCTATTACTAAAGGTGCCACAGCCATTCCCACCACCACACATAGACAGACAGCCATTCCCAAGACCACAACAGACTGACATTCCACTCAACTAAATACTGGTGGTTATCAGCCAGTACTCCAGAGTTCCACAGTAAAAGTGATGAAGCTATTTTTGCTCTCTGAGCATTGTAATACTGCATATTTTCCTGTGCTTCAGACCACTTTCCCAAAATGTGCAGAAGCACCACCAGACTAGCAGCAGCATTGAGCACCCCCAGACTAGCAGCAGCATTGAGCACCACCAGACTAGCAGCAGTGAGCACCACCAGACTAGCAGCAGTGAGCACCACCAGACTAGCAGCAGTGAGCACCACCAGACTAGCAGAAGCAGTGAGCATCACCAGACTAGCAGCAGCATTGAGCACCACCAGACTAGCAGCAGCGAGCACCACCAGACTAGCAGCAGCGAGCACCACCAGACTAGCAGCAGCGAGCACCACCAGACTAGCAGCAGCGAGCACCACCAGACTAGCAGCAGCAGTGAGCACCACCAGACTAGCAGCAGCAATGAGCACCACCAGACTAGCAGCAGCAGTGAGCACCACCAGACTAGCAGCAGCAGTGAGCACCACCAGACTAGCAGCAGTGAGCACCACCAGACTAGCAGAAGCAGCATTGAGCACCACCAGACTAGCAGCAGCATTGAGCACTACCAGACTAGCAGAAGCAGTGAGCACCACCAGACTAGCAGCAGCATTGAGCACCACCAGACTAGCAGCATTGAGCACCACCAGACTAACAGCACCAGTGAGCACCACCAGACTAGCAGCAGCAGCGAGCACCACCAGACTAGCAGCAGCAGCGAGCACCACCAGACTAGCAACAGCGAGCACCACCAGACTAGCAGCAGCAGTGAGCACCACCAGACTAGCAGCAGCGAGCACCACCAGACTAGCAGCAGCAGTGAGCACCACCAGACTAGCAGCAGCAGTGAGCACCACCAGACTAGCAGCAGTGAGCACCACCAGACTAGCAGCAGCAGCATTGAGCACTACCAGACTAGCAGAAGCAGTGAGCACCACCAGACTAGCAGCAGCAGCAGCATTGAGCACTACCAGACTAGCAGAAGCAGTGAGCACCACCAGACTAGCAGCAGCAGTGAGCACCACCAGACTAGCAGCAGCAGTGAGCACCACCAGAATAGCAGCAGCAAGCACCACCAGACTAGCAGCAGCAGTGAGCACCACCAGACTAGCAGCAGCAGTGAGCACTACCAGACTAGCAGCAGTGAGCACCACCAGACTAGCAGCAGCAGCATTGAGCACTACCAGACTAGCAGAAGCAGTGAGCACCACCAGACTAGCAGCAGCAGCAGCATTGAGCACTACCAGACTAGCAGAAGCAGTGAGCACCACCAGACTAGCAGCAGCAGTGAGCACCACCAGACTAGCAGCAGCAGTGAGCACCACCAGACTAGCAGAAGCAGGATTGAGCACCACCAGACTAGCAGCAGCATTGAGCACTACCAGACTAGCAGAAGCAGTGAGCACCACCAGACTAGCAGCAGCATTGAGCACCACCAGACTAACAGCACCAGTGAGCACCACCAGACTAGCAGCAGCAGTGAGCACCACCAGACTAGCAGCAGCAGTGAGCACCACCAGACTAGCAGCAGCATTGAGCACCACCAGACTAGCAGCAGCAAGCACCACCAGACTAACAGCACCAGTGAGCACCACCAGACTAGCAACAGCGAGCACCACCAGACTAGCAGCAGCAGTGAGCACCACCAGACTAGCAGCAGCAGTGAGCACCACTAGACTAGCAGCAGCGAGCACCACCAGACTAGCAGCAGCGAGCACCACCAGACTAGCAGCAGCAGTGAGCACCACCAGAATAGCAGCAGTGAGCACCACCAGAATAGCAGCAGCGAGCACCACCAGACTAGCAGCAGCAGTGAGCACCACCAGACTAGCAGCAGCAGTGAGCACCCCAGACTAGAAGCTGTGAGCACCCCTAGACTAGCAGAAGCAGTGAGCATCACCAGACTAGCAGAAGCAGCAGTGAGCACCACCAGACTAGCAGCAGCAGCATTGAGCACCACCAGACTAGCAGCAGCATTGAGCACCACCAGACTAGCAGCAGCAGTGAGCACCACCAGACTAGCAGCAGCAGTGAGCACCACCAGACTAGCAGCAGCAGTGAGCACCACCAGACTAGCAGAAGCAGTGAGCATCACCAGACTAGCAGAAGCAGTGAGCACCACCAGACTAGCAGCAGCAGCATTGAGCACCACCAGACTAGCAGCAGCAGTGAGCACCACCAGACTAGCAGCAGCAGTGAGCACCACCAGACTAGCAGAAGCAGTGAGCACCACCAGACTAGCAGCAGCAGTGAGCACCACCAGACTAGCAGAAGCAGTGAGCACCACCAGACTAGCAGCAGCAGTGAGCACCACCAGACTAGCAGCAGCAGTGAGCACCACCAGACTAGCAGAAGCAGTGAGCACCACCAGACTAGCAGCAGCAGTGAGCACCACCAGACTAGCAGCAGCAGTGAGCACCACCAGACTAGCAACAGCAGTGAGCATCACCAGACTAGAAGCAGCAGTGAGCATCACCAGACTAGAAGCAGCAGTGAGCACCACCAGACTAGCAGCAGCGAGCACCACCAGACTAGCAGCAGCAGTGAGCACCACCAGACTAGCAACAGCGAGCACCACCAGACTAGCAGCAGCAGTGAGCACCACCAGAATAGCAGCAGTGAGCACCACCAGAATAGCAGCAGCGAGCACCACCAGACTAGCAGCAGCAGTGAGCACCACCAGACTAGCAGCAGCAGTGAGCACCCCAGACTAGAAGCTGTGAGCACCCCTAGACTAGCAGAAGCAGTGAGCATCACCAGACTAGCAGAAGCAGCAGTGAGCACCACCAGACTAGCAGCAGCAGCATTGAGCACCACCAGACTAGCAGCAGCATTGAGCACCACCAGACTAGCAGCAGCATTGAGCACCACCAGACTAGCAGCAGCAGCATTGAGCACCACCAGACTAGCAGCAGCAGTGAGCACCACCAGACTAGCAGAAGCAGTGAGCACCACCAGACTAGCAGCAGCAGCATTGAGCACCACCAGACTAGCAGCAGCAGTGAGCACCACCAGACTAGCAGAAGCAGTGAGCACCACCAGACTAGCAGCAGCAGTGAGCACCACCAGACTAGCAGAAGCAGTGAGCACCACCAGACTAGCAGCAGCAGTGAGCACCACCAGACTAGCAGCAGCAGTGAGCACCACCAGACTAGCAACAGCAGTGAGCATCACCAGACTAGAAGCAGCAGTGAGCATCACCAGACTAGAAGCAGCAGTGAGCACCACCAGACTAGCAGCAGCAGTGAGCACCACCAGACTAGCAGAAGCAGTGAGCACCACCAGACTAGCAGCAGTAGCAGTAGTGTGGAGAAGAGGTTTCTCCCAGTCTGAATTGGCAACCAAAGGGTTAAAGTCTGTTTCATAAACTCTCCGTGCTTCAAGAATCGCCTGGAAGCTACTTGTGCAGGCTTTAAATACCGATTTGACAGATCACATTTTAGCCCACTGTTACTACCAGCCCACACTGCCTCCTCACAGCAGCTAGTGAACACACCACAGACACACGATGGGAACTCTGAGAGTGGTGTTACTCCTCTCCTTGATACCGTCACCATGGGTGCTCTGCTCGACTGGGAAACACTTCAACCAGGATTCAACACTCACACTGGAACAACAGGATGTATTGTTCAATAGAGAAACCTATCTGGAAGCAAGGAGGTCTAAGGTAGGCTATAAACTGACTTGAACACCTTTATTTTCTAGTATTGATTAATGACTAACTATAGTAAGTCAATAATAGGTTAAGAATAGTTAATAGTAACTTATCATTCTAATGCACTTAAATATACCTCCTCAGAGTTTGATTAAATCAAGTAATTTCAAACATCTTGCAAGGTTGTAGCTGGGATTTATTTAATAACATTATTATTTAATAAGATGTATTTAATTATTATTGTTATTCTAATGAGTCAATGAATGGATAAATGTTATATTCAATATATCTGTATCTATGAAACTAGAGGCAGATAATTACAAAACCAATTTCCTTAATGTGTGATTTATACTTGAATACCAATAATTCACTTTTCCTTTTGAACATCCTATTTTTTTTTATGCAAACATTGTTTTATTCATACATTAGTAAACAATGCCTCAGCGATAACAACTGATCTACACATCAAGACTTGAGTGCATTACATTAGTTTGTCAGTAGCATTTCATTGTTCCACCTTCTGATGAATATTATTGTAGCGTAATACTTTTAAATCCCAGTAATACCTTTTCTTCCCTTATTTGAGAAATCAAACCAGCCGTTGGACTCAGTCCCATTTCGTTGGACTCAGTCCCATTTGGAAGGAGGAAGTGTATGGCCCAGTCTAATTCCTCTCTCCCCCAGTCGAAGTCTAACAGCTGGGTTGTCTGTCTGCCCAGAGCTCCAGACTCATGGTGATTGGTCAGCACAGCAGGGGCAGGGCTGCAGGAGGCTCCACTGCTCTAGTAGAATGGAGGTTACAGGCTAGAGAACTCCCATCCAAACAGAAGCCCCGGTCTGGCTGCCAAGGGGCCCTGTTCCCTCCTGCCAAGGGGCCCTGTTCCCTCCTCCTGCCAAGGGGCCCTGTTCCCTCCTCCTGCCAAGGGGCCCTGTTCCCTCCTCCTGCCAAGGGGCCCTGTTCCCTCCTCCTGCCAAGGGGCCCTGTTCCTCCTCCTGCCAAGGGGCCCTGTTCCTCCTCCTGCCAAGGGGCCCTGTTCCCTCCTCCTGCCAAGGGGCCCTGTTCCCTCCTCCTGCCAAGGGGCCCTGTTCCCTCCTCCTGCCAAGGGGCCCTGTATCTCCTCCTGCCAAGGGGCCCTGTTCCCTCCTCCTGCCAAGGGGCCCTGTTCCTCCTCCTGCCAAGGGGCCCTGTTCCCTCCTCCTGCCAAGGGGCCCTGTTCCCTCCTCCTGCCAAGGGGCCCTGTTCCTCCTCCTGCCAAGGGGCCCTGTTTTATCCTCCTCCTGCCAAGGGGCCCTGATCATCCTCCTGCCAAGGGGACAAAGCTTAGGGCTCACCCAGCAAACAGTTAACGTTCCTGGAACGTTCCTACAACTTTAGGTATTTTATTTTGATCCCCATTGGCTACAGCTATTCTTACTTGGGTCCGACACATAACGAAAAAGACACAAAATACTTCACAATTTACATACAATTAAAAACATGACCATGTAGTGTGTGCGCATCTATCAGTTACACATACACCAGTCAAACGTTTTAGAACACCTAATCATTCCAGGGTTTTTCTTTATTTTTTACTTTTTCTACATTGTAGAATAATAGTGAAGACATCAAAACTATGAAATAACACATATGGAATCATGTAGTAACCAAAAAAGTGTTAAAAAAAATCAAAATATATTTTATATTTGACTTTCTTCAAAGTAGCCACCCTTTGCCTTGATGACAACTTTGCACACGCTTGTCATTCTCTCAACCAGGTAGTCACCTGCAATGCATTTCAATTAACTGGTGTGCGTTCTTAAAAGTTAATTTATGGAATTTCTTTCCTTCTTAATGTTTGAGCCAATCAGTTGTGTTGTGACAAGGTAGGGTTGGTATAAGCATTTATTTGGTCTGATGAGTCCAAATTTGAGATTTCTGGTTCCAACCGCTGTGTCTTTGTATACAGAAGATAGCCCTATTTGGTAAAAGACCAAGTCCATATTATGGCAAGAACAGCTCAAATAAGCAAAGAGAAATCACAGTCTATCATTAATTTAAGACATGAAGGTCAGTCAATACGGAACATTTCAAGAACGTTTTAAGTTTCTTCAAGTGCAGTCGCAAAAACCATCAAGTGCTATGATGAAACTGGCTCTCATGAGGACCGCCACAGGAATGGAAGATCCAGAGTTACCTCTGCTGCAGAGGATAAGTTCAGTAGAGTCACCAGCCTCAGAAATTGCAGCCCAAATAAATGCTTCACAGTGTTCAAGTAACAGACACATTTACATTTAGTCATTTAGCAGACGCTCTTATCCAGAGCGACTTCCAGTTAGTGAGTGCATATATTTTATTTTTCATACTGGAATCGAACCCACAACCCTGGCGTTGCAAACGCCATGCTCTACCAACTGAGCTACATCCCTGCCGGCCATTCCCTCCCCTACCCTGGACGACGCTGGGCCAATTGTGCGCCGCCCCATGGGTCTCCCGGTCGCGGCCGGCTACGACAGAGCCTGGATTCGAACCAGGATCTCTAGTGGCACAGCGTCGTCCAGGGGAGGGGAGGAAATGGCCTTAGACCACTGCGCCACTCGGGAGGACACCAATAAGAAGAAGAGACCTGCTTGGGCCAAGAAACACGAACAATGGACATTAGACTGGTGGAAATCTGTCCTTTGGTCTGATGAGTCCAAATTTGAGATTTCTGGTTCCAACCGCTGTGTCTTTGTGAGACGCAGAGTAGGTGAACAGATGATCTCCGCATGTGTGGTTCCCACCGTGAAGCATGGAGGAGGAGGTGTGATGGTGTTTTGCTGGTGACACTATTGGTGATTTATTTAGAATTCAAGGCACACTGAACCAGCATGGCTACCACAGCATTCTGCAGCAATACGCCATCCCATCTGGTTTGGGCTTAGTGGGACTATCATTTGTTTTTCAACAGGACAATGACCCAACACACCTCCAGGCTGTGTAAGGGCTATTTGACCAAGAAGTAGAGTGATGGAGTGCTGCATCTGATGACCTGGCCTCCACAATCCCCCGACCTCAACCCAATTGAGATGGTTTGGGATGAGTCGGACGGCAGAGTGAAGGAAAAGCAGCTAACAAGTGCTCAGCATATGTGGGAACTCCTTCAAGACTGTTGGAAAAGCATTCCAGGTGAAGCTGGTTGAGAGAATGCCAAGAGTGTGCAAAGCTGTCATCAAGGCAGAGGGTGGCTACTTTGAAGAACCTCAAATATAAAATACATTTTTGATTTGTTTAACACTTTTTTGGTTACTACATGATTCCGTGTGTTATTTCATAGTTTTGATGTCTTCACTATTATTCTACAATGTAGAAAATAGTAAAAATAAAGAAAAACCCTTTAGTGAGTAGGTGTTCTAAAACTTTTGACTGTACAATGTAAAAAATTAAGAAAAACCGCTGGAATGAGTAGGGTGGGCCAAACGTTTGACTGGTACTGTACATGTCAGTACATACACACAAAAATTAGGTCATGGGGGAGAGGCGTTGTGCCGTGAGGTGTTGCTTTATTTGGTTTTTTAAAAACCAGGTTTGCTGTTCACTTGGTCTATATGAGATGGAGAGGAGTTCCATGCAATCATGGCTCTGTATAATACTGTATGCTTCCTACTGGACCTGGAGACAGTGAAAAGACCCCTGGTGGCATGTCTGTTGGGGTAAGTGTGTGTGTCAGTGCCTTGAATAAGTTGACTACGCAAACTATATGGAACTTCCAACACAATGGTTCTTATAGAAACAAGAGACTGGCATGCATAGTATTCATATAAGCCATCTGATAACAATTAAGAGCAAAACATGCCACTGTGTTCTGGGCCAGCTGTAGCTTAACTAGGTCCTTCTTTGCAGCACGAAATATGACCGGACAATAATTAAGATAAGACAAAACTAGATCCTGCAGGACTTGCTTTGTGGAGTGTGGTGTCAAAAAAAAGCAGAGCATCGCTTTATTTACGGACAGACCTCTATCGAACAGTACAGCTCCCACACATGTTGAGTGCCCTTCTCTATAAAGGATGCTGAAAGTCTGTTAATTTGCTTAGAGAAATAGCTTTGCATTTGGTCAAACACCACTTTTTCCAACAGTTTGCTAAGAGCTGGCAGCTAGAACCAGTAAAGGCCGATTTACCACCCTTGGGTAGCGGAATGACTTTGGCTTCCCTCCAGGCCTGAGGACAAAGACTTTCCTCTAGGCTCAGATTAAAGATATGACAGATAGGAGTGGCTATAGAGTCAGCTACCATCCTCAGTAGCTTTCCATCTAAGTTGTCAATGCCAGGAGGTTTGTCATTATTGATCGATAACAATCATTTTCCCACCTCTCCCTCACCAACTTTACAAAATTCAAACTTGCAATGCTTTTCTTTCATTATTTGTTTATTCATGCATGAGTACGATGGCTCACTGTTCGTTGTTGGTATTTCCTGCCTAAGTTTGCCCACTTAATGAAGTAAATCATTAAAATAATTGGCAACATCAAATGGTTTTGTGATGAATAAGCCATCTGATTCGATGAAACATGGAGTTGAATCTGTCTTTCTGCCCATAATTTCATTTAAACTCCAAAGTCTTTTTCCATCATTCTGTATATCATTGATCTTGGCTTCATAATACAGTTTCTTCTTCTTTTTTGTTGAGTTTAGTCACATAATTTCTCAATTTGCAGTAAGTCAGCCAGCCAGATGTGCAGCCAGACTTATTATCCACTCCTTTTGCCCCGTCTCTTTCAACCAGACATTTTTTCTGTTCCTCATCAATCCATGGAGCCTTAACAGTTCTAACAGTCAGTTTCTTAACAGGTGCATGTTTATCAATAATTGGAAGAAGCAATTTCATAAATTCATCACGTGCAGCGTCTGGATGCTCCTTATTAATCACATCAGACCAACAAATATTTTTTAACATCATCCACATAAGAGAGTCACAGCTAAATCTTTTGTATGATCTCTTATACACTATTTTAGGCCCAGCTTTTGGAACTTTGGCTTTCCTGGATATAGCCACTATATTGTGATCACTGCATCCAATGGGTACGGATACTAGGGCTGCACGATATATCGTTTCAGCATCGACATTGCGATGTATGCATCCGCAATAGTCACATCGCAGAACGTGCGATTTAGTAAGGTAAACATATCAGTCTACAATATATATATTTTGTAAATGTTAAACTAGCATTATATCTGTCTGATATAACGTAATGTACTCAGATTTATGGGTTATTGGATACACAGTTTATTATTATTATTATTATTATTATTTTAAACACAGAGTTGGTTGCTGCACGTGGGTGACATGCAGGCTCTGCTTGCGCGTGACGAAATGATGAGCAAAAAATACCAAAATTGAGAATTCGGTTGCAAAAAGAAATGCATCGTCAATTATATGGAAATATTTCGGCTACAGACAGGATGATGTTGACCAAAAACAGGTACTTTGTCGAGAGTGCCTTGCAATTGTTGCCACAACACGAGGCAACACGACCAATTCGACCATTTAAGGCGGCACCACGAATCTTCGTATGACGAGTGCAAAGCATCTCAATGCCCTCCAAAGCATCTCAATGCCCTCCAAAGCACAAATCTATTTCGGATGCCTTTGCCAGTATTACACCATACGAGAAAGGTTCCAAACGGCAGAGAGAAATCACAGATTCAATAACATTTCACGTCGCCAAATACATGGTACCAATTAACACGGTTACCAAAGAGGGTTTTAAAAACACGATCCGGTCGCTTGACAAGCGGTGTGTAATGCCATCACGCAACTATTTTTCTCAAGTTGCCATCCCAGAGTTGTACGAGAAATGCAAGGCACAAGTTGAAACAGAGCTGTCACAAGTGGAATATTATACAGCAACAACGGACTTGTGGTCCAGCCGGACAACGGAGCCCTACGTAAGTCTGACCATACACTTTATTAATGAGGACTTCCACCTGAAAAGTCGCTGTTTGCAAACTGCATTTTCCCCCCAGAGGATCATACAAGGATGAGAGAAGCTTTAGCTGATTGGGGCCTAGACTAGATGAGAGTAATTTGTAATGTAATAAAATGTTAAATGACTTTTTGATTTGATTTTGTCACTCACATGAGGCAGGTGAACCTGCAACCACAACACTTCAATAACACTTGACATGAGATCTTCTCTAAGCATTACAGGGATATGGCTCTGAATATATACAGCAACACCTCCCCCATAAGCATTCCTGTCTCTTCTATAGATGTTATATCCTTGTAATGCTACTGCTGTTTCAAAGGAATCTCAGAAATGGCTAATATATTAATGTTAATAATAATAATAATAATAATAATATGCCATTTAGCAGACGCTTTTATCCAAAGCGACTTACAGTCATGCGTGCATACATTTTGTGTATGGGTGGTCCCGGGGATCGAACCCACTACCTTGGCGTTACAAGCGCCGTGCTCTACCAGTTGAGCTACAGAGGACCACATGTTATCTGATGTTAGAGAGTTATTGATTTCATGAACCTTATTTCTAAGGCTACATATATTAATATGGGCTATTTTCAGCCTTTTCCTGGGCAGCTTTATCAGAGATAGACATAATATGGAGAAGAAAAACCCGAACAAAGCAAGAGAAAAAATAAAACATTTCTCAGCAGTCCATCAATCAGTCGGTGTTTGTGCTGCGGGGTAACATTCCAATGGAGCAGAACTGAGGTTCTAGAACTCCAAACGGAGGTTCCATTCTAGAGAACTCCAATCTCCCACAGCTACCAAGAGGGTGAAAGACTTTGCATTGAGTGAGTGAACAGTGTCAATCTTGCCAACCTGACATATTTTTGCCAAAAGAGTACCACGATGGAAATAAGCCTTTGGGCTTTTATTTTTGTTTTAGCCTCGATAATTTGTCATGTATGTAATGTTGTCTCCAGCTGGAGCAGTCTACTACTTTTAATCCTTAAATAAATTCAAATCAATCAATTAAAGCCAAGGGGGTCAAAGCTCAGGGCTCCCCCAGCAAACAGTGAACATTCCTACAACATTAGGTAACGTTCCTACAATGTTAGGTAACGTTCCAACGCAGTCCCAATGGAGTCCCAATAGAGTAGAACTGAGGTTCCAGTCTAGAGAACTGGCTGCCAAGGGGCCCTGTTCCTCCTCCTGCCAAGGGGCCCTGTTCCTCCTCCTGCCAAGGGGCCCTGTTCCTCCTCCTGCCAAGGGGCCCTGTTCCTCCTCCTGCCAAGGGGCCCTGCTCCTCCTCCTGCCAAGGGGCCCTGTTCACTCCTCCTGCCAAGGGGCCCTGTTCACTCCTCCTGCCAAGGGGCCCTGTTCTCTCCTCCTGCCAAGGGGCCCTGTTCTCTCCTCCTGCCAAGGGGCCCTGTTCCCTCCTCCTGCCAAGGGGCCCTGTTCCCTCCTCCTGCCAAGGGGCCCTGTTCCTCCTCCTGCCAAGGGGCCCTGTTCACTCCTCCTGCCAAGGGGCCCTGTTCTCTCCTCCTGCCAAGGGGCCCTGTGCCCTCCTCCTGCCAAGGGGCCCTGTTCACTCCTCCTGCCAAGGGGCCCTGTTCACTCCTCCTGCCAAGGGGCCCTGTTCACTCCTCCTGCCAAGGGGCCCTGTTCCCTCCTCCTGCCAAGGGGCCCTGTTCCTCCTGCCAAGGGGCCCTGTTCCCTCCTCCTGCCAAGGGGCCCTGTTTATCCTCCTCCTGCCAAGGGGCCCTGTTCCTCCTGCCAAGGGGCCCTGTTCCCTCCTCCTGCCAAGGGGCCCTGTTCCCTCCTCCTGCCAAGGGGCCCTGTTTATCCTCCTGCCAAGGGGCCCTGTTCCTCCTCCTGCCAAGGGGCCCTGTTCATCCTCCTGTCAAGGGGCCCTGTTTCTCCTCCTGCCAAGGGGCCCTGTTCCTCCTGCCAAGGGGCCCTGTTCCTCCTGCCAAGGGGCCCTGTTCCCTCCTCCTGCCAAGGGGCCCTGTTCCTCCTCCTGTCAAGGGGCCCTGTTCCTCCTGCCAAGGGGCCCTGTTCCACCTCCTGTCAAGGGGCCCTGTTCCTCCTGCCAAGGGGCCCTGTTCCTCCTCCTGCCAAGGGGCCCTGTTCCTCCTCCTGTCAAGGGGCCCTGTTCCTCCTGCCAAGGGGCCCTGTTCCTCCTCCTGCCAAGGGGCCCTGTTCCTCCTCCTGTCAAGGGGCCCTGTTCCTCCTCCTGTCAAGGGGCCCTGTTCCTCCTCCTGTCAAGGGGCCAAAAGCTCAGGCCTTGAATGTTCTGTGAACATTATGTAGGCTTACATTCCAAGACTCCAGCAGAACAGAATAGAACTGAGGTTGGTTGCAGTCTGAAGAACTCCCATCCAAACAGCAGCCCTGTTTCTGAAGCCAAGGGGCTAAAGCTCAGGGGCCCACCCAGCAAACACAACATTCCTTGAAAATTCCTACAATGGCTAGGTAACATTCCAAAGCATCAGCAGAACGGAGTTGGTTCCAGTCTAGATAACTCCTATGCAAACAGCAGACCTGCTACAGCTGCCAAGGGGTCAGGGCTCAGAGCCTGGAGAACTGGGGGGGGGGGTAATTATTTCAGCAGGCAGTTGAACACCTGGCTCTGCTGGGTGCCAAGAGTGTGCAAAGCTGTCATCAAGGCAAAGGGTGGTTATTTGAAGAATCTCAAATATAAAATATATTTTGATTTGTTTAACACTTTTTTGGTTACTACATTATTCCATATGTGTTATTTCATAGTTTCGATGTCTTCACTATTATTCTACAATGTAAAAAATATTTTAAAAAATAAAGAAAAACCCTTGAATGAGTAGGTGTCGTCCAAACTTTTGACTGGTACTGTATATATTTATTTTTTATGGGTTGTTTTTTGGGGGGGGGGGGGGGGGGGGGGGGGGGGGGTTTGCTCAGAAAACTTGGGGCCGAGCAGTCGCACACAAGTTTAAGATCACCATGTGCAATGCCAAGCGTCGGCTGGAGTGGTGTAAAGGTTCCCGCAATTGGACTCTGGAGCAGTGGAAACACGTTCTCTGGAGTGATGAATCACCCTTCACCATCTGGCAGTCCGACGGACGAATTTGAGTTTGAAGGATGCCAGGAGAACGCTACCTGCCCCAATGCATAGTGCCAACTGTAAAGTTTGGTGGAGGAGGAATAATGGTATGGGGCTGTTTTTCATGGTTCGGGCTAGGCCCCTTAGTTCCAGTGAAGGGAAATCTTAACGCTACAGCATACAATGACATTCTAGACGATTCTGTGCTTCCAACTTTGTGGCAACAGTTTGGGGAAGGCCCTTTCCTGTTTCAGCATGACAATGCCCCCGTGCACAAAGCAAGGTCCATACAGAAATGGTTTGTCGAGATCAGTGTGTAAGAACTTGACTAGCCTGCACAGAGCCCTGACCTCAACCCCATCGAACACCTTTGGGATGAATTGGAACGCCGACTGCGAGCCAGGCCTAATCGCCCAACATCAGTGCCCGACCTCACTAATGCTCTTGTTGCTGAATGGAAGCAAGTCCCCACAGCAATGTTCCAACATCTAGTGGAAAGCCTTCCCAGAAGAGTGGAGGCTGTTATAGCAGCAAAGGGGGGACCAACTCCATATTAATGATTTTGGAATGAGATGATCGAGAAGCGGGTGTCCACATACTTTTGGTCACGTAGTATATCTGTTTAGGCTTCTTGAAGTCAATTTGCAATCTAAAAATATTTGTTTTATTATGTTCCGGCCCCCGACCATCCGCTCAAGAAAAATTGGCCCCCGGCTGAATGTAGTTGATGACCCCTGCACTACAGTATTAACCCTAACAGGGTGTTACTCTATCCTCCACTAGAGAGAAGCAGCAGCCCTGTGGCTGGGAGAGGACTATGACTCCAGCATGGTCTTCCTGCCTGCTGATGAACCTGACGATGCCCCCGCTGGGGGGGTTGACGCCTTGGGTAAGACAACAGCTCTACGTGCGTCTTCTTCCATGTCTCTCACTGCCTCCCTCTGCCTGACTTACTCTCCCTTCCTGCTCGTCACTCCTGCCTCCTCTCCTACCCTCCCTCCATCTCACTGCCTCCTCTCCTACCCTCCCTCCCGTCTCTCACTGGCTCCTCTCACTCCTACCCTCCTCCATTCATGCCATCCTCTCCTACCCTCCCTCCCAGTCTCTCACTGCCTCCTCTCCTACCCTCCCTCCCCGTCTCTCACTGCCTCCTCTCCTACCCTCCCTCCCCGTCTCTCACTGCTCCTTCTACCTCCCTCCCCGTCTCTCACTGCCTCACTCCTACCTCCCCGTCTCTCACTGCCTCCTCTCCTACCCTCCCCCCAGTCTCTCACTGCCTCCTCTCCTACCCTACCCTCCCGTCCTCACTGCCTCCTCTCCTACCCTCCCTCCCCGTTCTCACTGCCTCCTCTCCACCCCACCGTCTCTCATGCCTCCTCTCTACCCTCCCTCCATCTCACTGCCTCCTCCTCCCTACCCTCCCTGTCTCTCACGGGCCTCCTCTCCTACCCTCCTCCCGTCTCTCACTGCCTCCTCTCCTACCCTCCCCAGTCTCTCACTGCCTCCTCTCCTACCTCCCTCCATCTCACTGCCTCCTCTCCTATCCTCCCTGGTCTCTCACTGTCTCCTCTCCTACCCTCCCTCCCCGTCTCTCACTGCCTCCTCTCCTACCATCCCTCCCTCCATCTCACTGCCTCCTCTCCTACCCTCCCTCCATCTCACTGCCTCCTCTCCTACCCTCCCTGTCTCTCACTGCCTCCTCTCCTACCCTCCCTGTCTCTCACTGCCTCCTCTCCTACCCTCCCTGTCTCTCACTGCCTCCTCTCCTACCCTCCCTGTCTCTCACTGCCTCCTCTCCTCCCTCCCTGTCTCTCACTGCCTCCTCTCCTACCCTCCCTGTCTCTCACTACCTCCTCTCCTACCCTCCCTGTCTCTCACTGCCTCCTCTCCATACCCTCCCTGTCTCTCACTGCCTCCTCTCCTACCCTCCCTGTCTCTCCACTGCCTCCTCTCCTCCCTCCCTGTCTCTCACTGCCTCCCCTCCTACCCTCCCTGTCTCTCACTGCCTCCCCTCCTACCCTCCCTGTCTCTCACTGCCTCCTCTCCTACCCTTCCTCCCTCCATCTCACTGCCTCCTCTCCTACCCTCCCTGTCTCTCACTGCCTCCTATCCTACCCTCCCTGTCTCTCACTGCCTCCTCTCCTACCCTCCCTCCATCTCACTGCCTCCTCTCCTCCCTCCCTGTCTCTCACTGCCTCCCTCTTCCTCTCCCTGCTCACTCTTCTTGTCTCTACCTCCCTGCCTCTCCTTGAGTCTCCCTCTCTCTCGCTCCCTGTTTAATAGCCACATGTTCCCGTTAAAACAGGACTAATTGGAAGCTTTCATGGACCACGTCTATCTGTTGCTGTGTTTGTGTGCTTTTTCTGTCGGCCCGGGACAGAACCAGACCTGTGTTCAAATACTATTTAAAATCATTACAAATACTTTAGTTGTGCTTGATTGAGCTTGGCTGTTGAAATGGAACCAATAGAAAAGTCTCAAAACGTGCAAATCCCACCCACCTGACAATCCAAAAAGGCTAAAGCAAATGCTTAAAGTATTTGAAAAAGACTTCAAATAGTATTTGAACCCAGGTCTGTTCAGGACCATGTTGTTTACTCTGTGCAGCAGGCAGCAGCTGAGCTTATTAAAAACATGACTTAGAGGAGATAAGAGAAATTGAAGGAGACCTCAACACTCAGCTATAGCCTCCATTATAGTAACAGAGGCCCCTTTAGCCATGATATCTGGGCCAACAGGACTTGGCTTCTAGAGGACCATTGACCAAATCGTTAAAAAAACAAACTAACCCAACATGTGGAGTTTTGACAACCACAGCCAGAGCCATTGTAAATGTATAAATAATCTCAGAAGTGTTCAAAAAAAATGAAAAAATAAAATAACAAGAAAATTATTATAATAGTAAATGAATAAAAAAATATTTCTCTGTCCCCAGAGCTGCCCACATGCCTGCTGTGTGTGTGTCTGACCGGTTCGGTGTACTGTGAGGAGGTTGTTCCAGAGATGAGTGCTGTGCCGACCCTGCCCAAGGAGACTGCCTACCTCTACGCACGCTACAACAAGATCAACAAGATCACCAATAAAGACTTTGCAGAAATCGGTGAGTAGGGTTGAAACATTTCAGGAAACTTTCACACGGTTCCTAATTTCCCCAGAGGTTTTCAGATATCCCGGGTTGAATGATTCCTAGTTGGAGAATTTCCTGCCTGCTTATTACCTTCAGAATCCAGATATCACTTCAACTGGGATTTATAGAAACCTGGGAACTTTGGGAAAAACGCACAGTTCTTTGCAACCCTATTTGTACGTGATTCTGGTTCAGGTTTCCTTTGGCTTGCTGCCTTCTCAAACATTCTTCACACAGTCTCCCTAATACATAGCTGGAAGACAACCCAACACATGTTGAGGAAAATGCATTCAGGAAATAAAGATAACAGATTGACATTTTCATGGCCTCTGTAGACATATGGTGGATAACTAAAAGCTTCCTTTAGTTAGACATATGTTTGTGGATGTTATGTGGGCCCCTCCCTCCACTGATAAAAGTAGAAACACAGCTGGATTTAAAAGCTGACGAGATGTACGTTTTGGCAAACTCTTCCAGGTCTCCATCTTGGCTTTACATTTAGAATGCAGAAGTTTAAAAATGCCTAACTGTCAGAAGGAAGCTTCTAGATCATCCATGTCTCTGTGTGTACATGTGGCATAGACCAAATCTAAATATTGCATAACTCACTTGACCTATGAGAGCTAGGCCTGTAGCTTAATGCTACATAAAAACAACAATACTGCAGTTTGCAACCGCCAACGGAAAATTAGGTTCTAATTCATCCTACGTCAGTGACTCCGAAGAGAATCAACCCCGACATGGTTTTTATTCTAAATCTACATTGAGTCAATTCTAAGATCTACGTTTTTATTCTCATTCTAGAAGTACGTTTTTTTTTTTTGTTCTTTCTCAGTGACTCTGAAGAGAATCGACCTGACGGGGAACCTGATCTCGGAGATCGAGGACGGAGCATTCTCTAAGCTGACCCTGCTGGAGGAACTCAATTTGGCAGAGAACCAACTGGTGAAGCTTCCCATGCTGCCCAGCAAGCTCACCACCTTCAACGCCAACCACAACCAGCTCAAAACCAAAGGGGTCAAGGCCAAAGCCTTCAAGGTACAGTGAAAAGGACATGAAATACAGATAAGATTCCTGACTGTTTTATTGAGTGTATTTGTTTCAACCCCGAAGGTCATCGTCAGGCTTGACATTGCTCAAAACATTGCGAGATAGTGGCTATGGACCTTGGGTGCTTGACTGAGGCACGTTAGGTGCCTGATTTGAGCTTTGCCACGACAAACCCCTGCCCCCTTGGATTTCTTTACATTTTCTTGCATTACAAAGTGGGATTAAAATTCATTGAATTGGCATTATTTGTCAACGATCTGAATAAATTACTCTGTAATGTCAAAGTGGAAGAAAAACGATATATATTTTTTTATATATAATAAAACATTTAATAATAAAAATGTAGTGGCTGCCCACACTACCTGTCAAAAGTTTGGACACACCTACTCATTCAAGGGTTTTTCTTTATTTTTTCCTATTTTCTACATTGTAGAATAATAGTGAAGACATCAAAACCATGAAATAACACATATGGAATCATGTAGTAACCAAACAAATCAAAATATATTTTATGTTAGAGATTCTTAAAAAAGCCACCCTTTGCCTTGATGACAGCTTTGCACACTCTTGGCATTCTCTCAACCAGCTTCATGAGGTAGTCACCTGGAATGCATTTCAATTAAACAGGTGTACCTTCTTAAAAGTTAATTTGTGGAATTTCTTTCCTTCTTCATGCATTTGAGCCAATCAGTTGTGTTGTGTCAAGGTAGGGGGGGTATACAGAAGATAGCCCTATTTGGTAAAAGACCAAGTCCATATTATGGCAAGAACAGCTCAAATAAGCAAAGAGAAACGACAGTCCATCATTACTTTAAGACAAAAAGGTCAATCAATCTGGTAATTTCAAGAACTTTGAATGTTTCTTCAAGTGCAGTCACAAAAACCATCAAGCGCTATGATGAAACTGGCTCTCATGAGGACCGCCACAGGAATGGAAGACCCAGAGCTACCTCTGCTGCAGAGGATAAAGTTCATTAGAGTTACCAGCCTCAGAAATTGCAGCCCAAATACATGCTTCACAGAGTTCAAGTAACAGACACATCTCAACAACTGTTCAGAGGGGACTGTATTAAATCAGGCCTTCATGGTCGAATTGCTGCAAAGAAACCACTACTAAAGGACACCAATGAGAAGAAGAGACTTGATTGGGCCAAGACACACAAGCAATGGACATTAGACCGGTGGAAATGTGTCCTTTGGTCTGGAGTCCAAATTTGAGATTTTTGGTTCCACCCGCTGTGCCTTTGTGAAACGCGATGTGGGTGAACAGATGATCTCTGCATGTGTATTTCCCACTGTAAAGCATGGAGGAGGTGATGTTATGGTGTGGGGGTGCTTTGCTGGTGACACTGTCAGTGATCTATCTAGAATTGAAGGCACACTTAACCAGCATGGCTACCATAGCATTCTGCAGCGATACGCCATCCAATCTGATTTGGGCTTAGTGGGACTATCATTTGTTTTTCAACAGGACAATGACCCAATACACCTCCAGGCTGTGTAAGGGCTATTTGACCAAGAGGGAGAGTAATGGAGTGCTGTCTCTCAACCAGCTTCACCTGGAATGCTTTTCCAACAGTCTTGAAGGAGTTCCCACATTCTGAACACTTGTTGGCTGCTTTTCCTTCACTCTGCCATCCGACTCATCCCAAACCATCTCAATTGGGTTGAGGTCGGGGGATTGTGGAGGCCAGGTCATCTGATGCAGCACTCCATCACTCCCCTTCTTGGTCAAATAGCCCTTACACAGCCTGGAGGTGTGTTGGGTCATTGTCCTGTTGAAAAACAAATGATAGTCCCACTAAGCCCAAACCAGATGGGATGGCGTATTGCTGTGGTAGCCATGCTGGTTAAGTGTGCCTTGAATTCTAAATAAATCACAGACAGTGTCACCAGCAAAGCACCCCCACACCATAACACCACCTCCTCCATGCTTTACGGTGGGAACCACACATGCAGAGATCATCCGTTCACCCACACTGCGTCTCACAAAGACACGGCGGTTGGAACCAAAAATCTCCAATTTGGACTCCTGACCAAAAGGACACATTTCCACCGGTCTAATGTCCATTACTCGTGTTTCTTTGCCCAAGCAAGTCTCTTCTTATAATTGGTGTTCTTTAGTAGTGTTTTCTTTGCAGAAATTTGACGATGAAGGCCTGATTCACACAGTCCCCTCTGAACAGTTGATGTTTAGATGTGTCTGTGACTTCAACTCTGTGAAGCATTTATTTGGGCTGCAATTTCTGAAGCTGGTAACTCTAATGAACTTATCCTCTGCAGCAGAGGTAACTCTGGGTCTTCCATTCGTGTGGCGGTCCTCATGAGAGCCAGTTTCATCATAGCGCTTGATGATTTTTGCGACTGCACTTGAAGAAACGTTCAAAGTTCTTGAAATGTTCCGTATTGACTGACTTCATGTCTTAAAGTAATGATGGACTGTCGTTTCTCTTTGCTTATTTGAGCTGTTCTTGCCATAATATGGACTTGGTCTTTTACCAAATAGGGTTATGTTCTGTATACCCCCCCCCCCCCCCCTACCTTGTCACAACACAACTGATTGTCTCAAATGCATTAAGAAGGAAATCAATTCCACAAATTAAATTTTAAGAAAGCACACCTGTTAATTGAAATGCATTCCAGGTGACTACCTCATGAAGCTGGTTGAGAGAATGCCAAGAGTGAGCAAAGCTGTCATCAAGGCAAAGGGTGGCTATTTGAAGAATCTCAAATATAAAATATATTTTGATTTGTTTAACCCTTTTTTGGTTACTACATGATTCATATGTGTTATTTCATAGTTTTGATGTCTTCACTATAATTATACAATGTAGAAAATAGTAAAAATAAAGAAACACCCTTCAATGAGTAGGCGTGTCCAAACTTTTTACTGGTAGTGTACATTTCTTCCACTTTGACATTACAGAATATTTTGTGTAGATTGTTGACAAAAAACTACAAGTAAATCCATTTTAATACCACTTTGTAACACAATAATACCACTATTGTAACCCAAATAAATGCTTCAATAACGTGAAGAAATACATGAATACAATGCAAGGCACTATTTTGGTCTCACTGTTTCCACCATGCAGAAACTGGAGAAGCTGATCAACCTGTTCCTGGGAGACAATGCACTGGAGGCCGTACCAGTGATCCCTGAGAGCGTCCGCATTGTCCACCTTCAGGTCAGTACCACACACGGTGGCATGCAAACGGTCTTGACTTCTGGTTAGAGGCTACTCAGTCGGAGGATTCCCTCTCTACTTACACTGCCAGTCAAAAGTTTGGAGACACCTACTCATTCAACGTTTTTCTTTATTTTTTTACATTGTAGAATAATAGTGAAGAAATCAAAACTATGAAATAACACATATGGAATCATGTAGTAACCAGAAAAGTGTTAAACAAAATCAACGTATATTTTATATTTGAGGTTCTTCAAATACCCACCCTTTGCCTTGATGACAGCTTTGCACACTCTTGGCATTCTCTCAACCAGCTTCATGAGGTAGTCACCTGGAATGGATTTCAATTAACAGGTGTGCCTTCTTAAAAGTTAATTTGTGGAATTTCTTTCCTTCTTAATGTGTTTGAGCCAATCAGTTGTGTTGTGACAAGGTAGGGGGGGTATACAGAAGATAGCCCTATTTGGTAAAAGACCAAGTCCATATTATAGCAAGAACAGCTCAAATAAGCAAAGAGAAACGACAGTCCATCATTACTTTAAGATATGAAGGTCAGTCAATATGGAACATTTCAAGAACTTTGAAGGTTTCTTCAAGTGCAGTCGCAAAAACCATCAAGCGCTATGATGAAACTGTCTCTCATGAGGACCGCCACAGGAAAGGAAGACCCAGAGTTACCTCTGCTGCAGAGGATAAGTTCATTAGAGTTACCAGCCTAAGAAATTGCAGCCCAAATAAATGCTTCAAAGAGTTGAAGTCACAGACACATCTCAACATCAACTGTTCAGAGGGGACTGTGTGAATCAGGCCTTCATCGTCAAATTGCTGCAAAGAAACTACTACTAAAGGACACCAATAAGAAGAAGAGACCTGCTTGGGCCAAGAAACACGAGCAATGGACATTAGACCGGTGGAAATTTGTCCTTTGGTCTGGAGTCCAAATTTGAGATTTTTGGTTCCAACCGCCGTGTCTTTGTGAGACGCAGTGTGGGTGAACGGATGATCTCCGCATGTGTGGTTCCCACCGTAAAGCACGGAGGAGGAGGTGTTATGGTGTGGAGGTGCTTGCTGGTGACACTGTCTGTGATTTATTTAGAATTCAAGGCACACTTAACCAGCATGGCTACCACAGCAATACGCCATCCCATCTGGTTTGGGCTTAGTGGGAATATCATTTGTTTTTCAACAGGACAATGACCCAACACACCTCCAGGCTGTGTAAGGGCTATTTGACCAAGAAGGAGAGTGATGGAGTGCTGCATCAGATGACCTGGCCTCCACAATCCCCCGACCTCAACCCAATTGAGATGGTTTGGGATGGGTCGGACGGCAGAGTGAAGGAAAAGCTGCCAACAAGTGCTCAGAATATGTGGGAACTCCTTCAAGACTGTTGGAAAAGCATTCCAGGTGAAGCTGGTTGAGAGAATGCCAAGAGTGTGCAAAGCTGTCATCAAGGCAAAGGGTGGCTATTTGAAGAATCTCAAATATAAAATATATTTGGATTTGTTGAACACTTTTTTGGTTACTACATGATTCCATATGTGTTATTTCATAGTTTTGATGTCTTCACTATTATTCTACAATGTAGAAAACAGTAAAAATAAAGAAAAAACCTTGAATGAGTAGATGTGTCCAAACTTTTGGCTGGTACTGTACGTCCTCATGATTTCAACGGGAAACCTCCAACTGGGATTTCTGAAAAACCTGGAGAACTTTGGGAAAGTTCCCAGAATTTTGCAACTCTAATCCCCGACTGCTTAACCCAAACAGCTAAATGCTGGCACCGTCGGAGGGTCCCTAGAGTAATCACGATTCTAAACTTTTCTCTTCCATCTTCTCTCTACAGAACAACAACATCACGGATATCAGCTCCGACACGTTCTGCAAGGGCAACAACACTTACTACATCAGACCAAACCTGAAGGAGGTGAGGCTGGACGGGAACCCAGTGCTGCTGTCTAAGCACCCCGACAGCTTCACCTGCCTCAAGTCTCTCCCCGTCGGACAGTACCGCTAAGACTAAAAGAGGTCTTCTGTGCTGACGTCAGTGGGACTTCCTGATTGAATAAAAGTTTAAAACAGAAATACATGCGACTTCTACAGGGGCGTATACAGTCCGGTGGAATGTTATTATGAACGTTGCGGATAGACAGCCATGTAATGAATAGATCCGACATGATTCCCTGTTCTACTTGACAAAGACAAGACAATCTTTATAATGAATGGTCGTCTACACCATACATTGCAATTCTGTCTGAACGTTCTTCTGTAAAAATTGTGCCCAGGTCTTTCTCAGTCTCTTTCAGAAGACTAGTGGCTGGGACTGAAATGATAGTATCTCACTTTAGCAAGCTAGGCTACATTGGTGATATAACGTCTCACACAAGGCTTTGAGCGGATCACCTGTTTCTGATTAGAAGGTTCCTTTACATTTAGACTGGTCTTGAACATAACTTGAACAAATCAGCTATGTGGTCGGGAAGACTTTGCAAATACGCCTTTCTTTTGAATGTTTGCTTTTGCATTCTGTTTGACTTATGACTTCTTTAAAAACGTTGAGTCAAGCTTTTGGCTTTCCTCCGAATTCTGTGAATTACTTTCATGTAAACTGGTTCTTAACTTAACAACTCAAGTAGAAGTTGATGACAAATATATCTTTGAACTACGTAGCCTAAAGTAATGTGAACATAAGGGGACTGTGCTCCCAACATATGATATTAAAATGGTGATATTCTTTTCTAAAGTCCCTTCAATCATAATTACTCATTTAGGAATTATTACCTGTGTGAATAAACAAATATGATGTACACAAAAAAAAAAAAAAAAAAAAAGTGTGCACGACTGGCTGGGTTTTAAATATTTGAATACAATTAAAATTAACTTTTTTTTTTATTAAACCCTGCTTTGACGTGTCCATGCATGAAAGTCAACCAAACAAAAACCTTTTGCTTTCAAGTGTAATTTGTAAACAACAACAAACTATAAAACTGCAAGAGAAACAAATATCTACGGTTTAGCACATATGCAAATATGGAAAAACTGGGTTCATATTATTAATATTAACTGGGTTCATATTATTCCTTTCGACCAGCCAACTTGGCAGACATAACCATTACATCCTCCAAGTGAATAGGATAATTGTTTCCATATGGCCCTGCTGTTTGATTCCCAATCTTTCATTAGAGTCCTTTCCCATCTTGATATAAAACATGCTTGCAGATCTCACACACACACTTCAAAAATCATACATTATCTACCAGCCAATATGGGAACAATCATACATTATCTACCAGCCAATATGGGAACAATCAGACATTATCTACCAGCCAATATGGGAACAATTAGACATTATCTACCAGTCAATATGGGAACAATCATACATTATCTACCAGTCAATATGGGAACAATCATACATTATCTACCAGCCAATATGGGAACAATCAGACATTATCTACCAGCCAATATAGGAACAATCAGACATTATCTACCAGCCAATATGGGAACAATCAGACATTATCTACCAGCCAATATGGGAACAATCAGACATTATCTACCAGCCAATATGGGAACAATCAGACATTATCTACCAGCCAATATGGGAACAATCAGACATTATCTACCAGCCAATATGGGAACAATTATACATTATCTACCAGCCAATATGGGAACAATCATACATTATCTACCAGTCAATATGGGAACAATCATACATTATCTACCAGTCAATATGGGAACAATCAGACATTATCTACCAGCCAATATGGGAACAATCAGACATTATCTACCAGCCAATATGGGAACAATCAGAAGCTGAAGGCACACTACTGGATCCCACTGGGTCAGACTATTTCAAGTGATATAAGTCATTAGACACTGAGTGGACAAAACATTAAGAACACTTTCTCTTTCCATGACCGACTGACCAGGTGAAAGCTATGATCACTTATTGATGTCACTTGTTAAATCCACTTCAAATCAGTGTAGATGAAGGGGAGGAGACAGGTTAAGCCTTGAGACAATTGAGACATGGATTGTGTGTGTATGTGTGCCATTCAGAGGGTGAATGGGCAAGACAAAAATATTTAAGTGCCTTTGAAAGGGGTATGGTAGTAGGTGCCAGGCGCACCGGTTTGTGTCAAGAACTGCAATGCTGCTGGGTTTTTCACGTTCAACAGTTTCCTGTGTGTATCAAGAATGGTCTACCACCCAAAGGACACCCAGCCAACTTGACACAACTGTGGGAAGCATTGGAGTCAACATGGGCCAGCATCCCTGTGGAACGCTTTCGACACCTTGCAGAGTCTATGCCCTGACGAATTGAGGCTGTTCTGAGGACGGGGGGGGGGGGGGGTGCAACTCAATATTAAGGTTTTAATGTGTTGTACACTCAGTGTATATACAAGTGATATAATGGGTATACCATCATATTAGTGCTTTTCTTATATAGGACACCATTGTCTTTATACACCGAACAAAAATATAAACGCAACATGTAAAGTGTTGGTCCCATGTTTCATGAGCTGAAATAAAAGATCCCAGAAATGTTCCATATGCACAAAAAGCTTATTTCTCTCAAATTTTGTGCACAAATTTGTTTACATCCCTGTTAGTGAGCATTTCTCCTTTGCCAAGATAATCCATCCACCTGACAGGTGTGGCATATCAAGAAGCTGATTAAACAGCATGATCATTACACAGGTGCACCTTGTGCTGGGGACAATAAAAGGCCACTCTAAAATGTGCAGTTCTGTCACACAACACAATGCCACAGATGTCTAAAGTTTTGAGGGAGCGTGCAATTGGCATGCTGACTGCAGGAATGTCCACCAGAACTGTTGCCAGAGAATGTAATGTTAATTTCTATACCATAAGTCGCCTCCAACGTCGTTTTAGAGAATTTGGCAGTACGTCCAACCAGCCTCACAACCACAGACCATGTGTAACCACACCAGCCCAGGACCTCCACATCCAGCATCTTCACTTGCGGGATCGTCTGAGACCAGCCAGCCGGACAGCTGATGAAACTGAGGAGTATTTCTGTCTATAATAAAGCCCTTTTGTAGGGAAAAACTCATTCTGATTGGCCTATGCCCTCCAAGGCCCACCCATGGCTGCGCCCCTGCCCAGTCATGTGAAATCCATAGATTAGGGCCTAATTAACTTATTTCAATTGACTGATTTCCTTTATATGAACTGTAACTCAGTAAAATAGTTGACATTGTTGCGTCTATATGTTTGTTCAGTACATAACAGATATGGTAACAGTTAGGTCATTTAGCAATATTACAAATGCTTCTATATTGACGGTATTGAACAGCCAGAGGGGAACAACAGAACCTGTTGATTGGATCATGTTCACAACTTTATCGATCACATTATTGATCACAGAGCCTATTACTCTCATCAACAGATCATTGTCTGTCCAAACAGGCGTTACTGCTGATCTAACCTGGACTCCTACTTTTCTCCAGGCAAGCCTGATTCTCAAAAGAGAATATGGTGTGAAGTCAGGAGCAGAATATGGTGTGAAGTCAGGCACTGTGAAACTACTGCTCATCTGTCAGCTTGACAGGTTGGCTAAGGTATGAAGATCCAGCTGTGAACCATTTTTGAACACTCTTACAGTAAAATCATTGATCAGATAACGTCTAGGAACATGCTGATGTCAGCAGAAAGCAACCATCTCACTTCCCGCCCAAGAAGTGTTCAGACAGAACTGCAGAGTCTATTGTTTCTCTATGGAAGTCACACGTTGGATGAACGACGGTGGAAACAACTGTTCAGTCAATTTCCTATTTTTCTTTATGTGCATTGTAGTTAAAAAGGTTGAACTTAGTTCAAATGTTGACGATAGAAAGAGGGATGCGTAAACCAGTCTAAACCAGTCTAAACCAGTGTTTACCAGTGTTTACCAGTCTTAATGCATTTCATCCTTCTTTGTTGGAACAGGCTCTGTAACCCGGCAACACCACCTTAACCTTAACATTCCTGAGATTTTCTACACTTCCAAACTCAGGTTGTTTATTTTACCCTGCCAGATGTTCCCTGGGACTCAGATACGGGTTGTGGTTATTCAATGTGGCCAAAGTAAAAAGTATCCTTCTCTATCCTCTTCATTTTTAATTTGAGTGCCTGGCTTCAGCATTCATGGAAATGTATTTCTAGTCTGACTAAAAGTTCTGCTCCAACCTTGCCGTCTATGCGGGTTACAGCAGATCGATCCTCCCGTTGTGACAGCAACGAGGGGAGTGTTTAACGGCACTCAGTCAGTCAGTCATACCTGGATGGAAGACGATACCTTGAGGCAGGTGTGCAAGACTTGGGTCACACATGAAGAGAGAGAGAGAGAGAGCTGTGCTGTTGTCCATGGCCTATGCGAGCAGTGAAAGGACCAAGTAAGTCCTACCTGGAAGTGCTGGAATGTTCTGCGTCTGTCTTCACACCTGTCCGAGAACCTCCTGACGGTCCTGAAGAACAGCAACAGGTCCCGCTTGTCCTCCGCTCTGCGGGAAAACATAAAAACACTGTTAGTCAGTCACCACACCACATCATTACATTTACGTCATTTAGCAGATGCTCTTATCCAGAGCGACTTACAAATTGGTGCATTCACCTTATAGCCAGTGGGACAACCACTTTACAATATGTTTTTTTTAAATATTTTTCTAATTGTTTAATTCTTAAATTTTAGAGTATATTTATAAATGTTTCCTAATCAAAAAAAAATTTGGGGGGGTAGAAGGATTACTTTTATACTATCACAGCACATTATCACACATTATCACAGCACATTATCATACAGTATCACTGAACCTTATCAAGAACAGCAACAGGTCCTACTTGTCCTCCGCTCTGCAATTTGAAATCAATATGAAATCCCTAAAACAAGTGATGGGATTTCAGTCCTGGCCCGCAACAGATAACCCTCATTGACTCTTGTTTTAAATCACGTCCTCGTTGGAGACCTAAATGGTCCTAAAAGTCCTGGGAGATCTTGCATCTATTCATTTTAGTCATTTAGCTTATCCAGAGCGACTTACAGTTAAGTGAGTGCATTCATTTTTTCATACTGGCCCCACCCCCGTGGGAAACGAACCCACAACCCTGGCGTTGCAAGCGCCATGCTCTACCAACTGAGCTACAAGATACCGTAGTGCTGGCTTGAAACAGAGGGTTACCTACTGAACATAGCATGGCTGTTTTAGAGACTCCGTCTGATCTGAAATCCCGCAACTGCGGCCTTGGACTGATTCATGTAAATACCAGAAGTTTGAGTTCTAAAATCGATTTTATTGTAACTCTGGCTTCTCAAACCAACGTGGGCATTCTGATTATTTTTGAATCTTGGTTAAAAGAAGTCTATGCCGAATTCTGATGAGTCTCTGACTGGTTATAATATATACAGTGCCTTCAGAAAGAATTCATACCCCTTGACTTATTCAAAATGTTGTTGTGTTATAGCCTGAATTCAAAATGGATTAAATTGGGGCGTATTCTCACCCATCAGTATTTCTGGGTAAGTCTAAGAGCTTTGCACACCTGGATTGTACAATATTTGCACATTTTTCATGCTCTATAAAAAAAAATATATATTCAAGCTCTGTCAGTTGGTTGTTGATCATTGACATTTTCAAGACTTGCCATAGACTTTCAAGCCTATTTAATAAAACTGTAACTAGGCCACTCAGGAACATTCAATGTCGTCTTGGTAAGCAACTCCAGCGTATATTTGGCCTTGTGTTTTTAGGTTATTGTCCTGCTGAAAGGTGAATTTGTCTCCCAGTGTCTGTTGGAAAGCAGACTGAACCAGGTTTTCCTCTAGGACTTAGCT